GCTGCAAAAGCTTCCAAAAGCAATAGGTGTCTATTCTCTGCTGCTTGTAGTCCTTATTCATACAAAAGATTTACCACCAACTTCCATATACCATTTGCCTAGTCCCTTCTCTTGCTATCCTGAACCCACAGAGTCAGCAACGGCCTTTTCAATTTAATATCAACTTTAATACACCCGAGTGCAAAGTTCTGTGGCATGCTATCATTGTCACTTTATTGTCAGCCTCTGAATTCCTGGTCACCCTGAGGGTTTAATGCTTGTTTTCCTGGTATTTGCTGTTTCCTCTCTTGCCTAGATTTCTGTCCTTCCCACTACACTGTTGTTAGCAACAACTGACTGCCACAAGCATTTTGCCTTTGCTTTCCAGATGCAGTAAGAGAGTAATTTGGATCCTCCTATTTCACAACATGCGGCTCCTCTTTATTGGTTCCTTAGACTTCAGGGAAGGTTACTTCCCACCTTTCTGCATCTTTATCTCCAAGTGCCTCACTCTCCTCATCTCCTTTGTCATCCTACTCCCCACAACACATCTGTTCCTCTGAAAGTACAAGAACTTGTCACTCTCCAGTCCCAAGCTTGGAGAGCACTCTGGGGGGCACCACACATGCAACAGGAGGGAAAGGGCTCCATAAACTCTGCTTACTTAGTCTTGCTTTATATATTTGATAGTCCCTCTGAAACTGTTTGTACAGCTTTTGAACCCACTGTCCTGCCCACATCTGGTGGGGAGGGGAGATACCAGAGAGAATTACAGGTCTACAGGTTCTACAAAAACAAGTGATTACATGTTAGAGAAAGTTCATCCTTCCTGCAGTGAGCACTCAACACCCATTGGCCTTGAGAGAGCATGCACACAACTGAGACACTATGTATGACCCATCTAAATGGGAACAACTCCTGCTAAAACTTGCAGTCAACTTGGAAGTGCAAACCTGAGAGAAGCTGTGTTTCCATTACTCACCAAATTACCTAACAGCCTGCTTTTCCTCTCTCAGCAGTCTACAGTGCACCCAGCCCAAAACCAGCATCAGTTACATGTCTCCATCCCAATTCAGGGCTATTTTGTTCTTGCCCCTGCACTAGAGTTTACTACCATTGCCAAGGTTCTAACACAATCAGTTATGAATCAGGACACAGGAAAAACTCTACCTGGCTGTAGTGCACAGCGTTGGAAGGCATCTACTTCTAAACATATCAGTTTGGAGGATAGAGGACAGCAAATTCTTGAACAGAAAGACAAACAGCCCAGAGTTGGTTATTTAAAACATACTTTGCTACCTGTTAAGAAATTCACAGGAAGCTTTTCCACAAGTTCAGACAACAGCAAAAGTTATGTTGTTTTCAATATGAACAATACATGGTTCATATCTTAATCAAAAAAGAAAAAGGGACTATCATTTTAATAGGTAAGCACCACTGCGTACCTCCAAGTTAATTAATGATGGCTTCTCATTAAGTACATTTTACTAGAAACTTCAAACACTGTACAAATCATTGTTTGTCATTTTACTCAGTATCTACTGAAATACCCATTCACATAGCATAAATACAGGTGTACACCACTTGCCATGCCATTGCTTCATATGGCAGTTTTAAGAACAAGTAACACTAAATTTGTGACATCTCTAACAGATCCTCCCCCTTATTAGAATTTAAACTGCTCACTTAGCATATAGTATTTTTCAGTGTTTCTCTTTCTGAGTGGGTTTTCATGTTCATGGGAGTTTCAATAGATAGTTGGTCATGAAGTTTATCTCCATAAAATACCATAACATATTTCAATGTGTTATTCCTTTATTATTAAAAAACTCCTCTTAATGATGGCAATCTCAGGTTTTCCATATATTTTTACATTCACAGCTGTGAATATTTATTTTCTGACCATTTTCATTGATGAGTTTATTAAAGTTTGCATTTAATTAATGTTTATAAGCAAGTCTATTAAAATGTACTAATGCATACCACTGCAGTTGTGTGCATAGTTTGTTCACTCCTGCTAGCTCTGTTCCCACATATGTCAATCTTATGTATATAAAAAATTTCAGGTCACTTCTGCATCAATTTATTGGTAACATATTAACAAATTATTAAGTAGATGTTGAGTATTACCTAGCTGAACAGAACATTTAAAGGCTCTGTGATGAGTAGGAGGCAGGAATACATTCATGCTGAACCACTGAACTAGACTTGCCACTAGATCTTGCCACTGCCAAGAGCTATGCTTTGGCTGATGGAAGTCTTTGAGCCAACAACAATTGCTATATTCTCAGCACAAGGAAATACAGAAATGAATTATTCACAAGTAGTATTATTCTGAATTGCTTTTGGATTTTCTTTACTACAGCCTTCCCCAGCTCTCTTGTGTTATTTAAAACTAATGATGTTTCACTCATTCAAAAATGCTGCATGTAACCTGGTGCATTTGTTTCATCTAGATGATGCTAAAGGCAACTATTGGCATGCCCTAGTTGCTGAGCTCAAAACAAACAAGTCAGTGATGTATGCAGGAACAGGGGTTTGCTGATGTATAGGTATGTTCTAAGTGGAAATACCAAAAAGGCCTATCTTTTTAGACTGAGTGTCCTAGGAACTGAAAACTAAACTAGCATAAAATATCCTTCTTTCCCCTTCTTTAAGGTCCCAGTAAGACAGTTGGGTAGCAGCTACAGATGTAGGCAGAGATGGGACACTGGAAGAGACCTTGCTTCACGGAAATCTGGGCAAATATATTTTAAAGCACTTAGTCTCCTATATCTGTATTTTTAGCCTTGTTGCTGTTCTTTATCCACTGATTCTTTATCAGCATTTCCTCCTGCGGAGAAATCCCTCCCTCTCCCACAGTTTATTCAGCCAACCAGTCTCAGCGTCTGAGGTCAAGTGGGGATAGAGCCACAGCTCCTCTAACAGAACTCTCCCATGGCCTGCTTTGCCCTCCAAAGCAGGTCAAATGGGGCTGTGCAAGCAGCAGCTGGACTTGAGATGCTGTCTCTTAAAGTACGCTGTTGAGGGATCAGTCTTATGCTCCATTTTCATGCACTGTCTCAGGTCACAATCTGGCATCTTAAACCAGTAGCAGCCCTTCTACAAGTTTTTATTTTTTTCAGTAAAGATCTCAAGTAATTGTAAAAACATGCACCTTGGATGTTCTCTTTTAAAGCATAGAAATTTAGGAAGAGTCTATGTTCTGTCCTTTCAGCTTTATCTGTCTGCACAATTTTTAAAATAACTTATGACTATGCAAGTTAGAGGATGCTGTTTCTTACAAATTTCTACTGCTTATATTACACTAAATCACATTCATGAATTGGGTCTGTTATCACTAAAGCATAAGCAAGCTATAAATACAAAACCAACTGATATTACTATTAGCTTTGGGAGTCCAAAACTTATTCGTGACGTGAACCTTTGTTCACATGTAAGTGAATTGTAAGTGATGTGAACCTTTGATTTTTGCTCTAATTAACTGAGTACAAAATGAGCATAAAACTGTATTTTGGGAGAGGAGAGTTGCCTCACAAATCTATTGCCAGCCAGGGGAGGAATACTCAGTGACCTTCACAGATGGGTGAGGAGTTAGAGAAAAGCAAACCCCAAGAAGATAGAGAATTCTCCTGACTCAGGTCAGAGAATTTAATCTGGTGTTTGCTCCAAGTCACAGACAGCAATCAAAGATGAAGAGGAGCATTACTTGCTCATCCTCTCTTGGATTTTAAAGGTGCTTCCCTAACACAATTAAAATTGAACATCCAAATATCACTCAAACAAGTGAAAGCTGGAGCAAGCCCTGGTCTGTCACCATCCCTGCTCTTTCCTCACCCCAGCCAGCCTTAGGGAGGCCACCACAACCCCAGAAGCTCCACAAGACTAGTGGCTTTTTACCAGTGAGCATTTCCAGCCTCTTAACAAAAAGAAAAGCACTTGTTTCTGGATAAGGACAAGGTGGACACCAGTTCCTGCCACAGGCATACTGGGTACCTGGGGACAGACTGCCTCCTCAGTGCTGTCCAAACCTGCTGCATATATTAATGTGAATGAATCAAGTTTGACTCACCCATCCATGCATGTGGGACAGCTAGTGGAAATGGAGGCAGCTTCCTGCACAGGCAGAGCAAATAAAATGACTCTTACATAGCCAAGCCAAGTATCTTTAATTAGAAACACACCTTCATTAGAGTCTTTAAAAGGAAAATTCAATTTGCACCTAACTTGAAGGCTTTATACAATCTTTAATTAGTTGCAACTATCTTAGCTAATAAAACCAAATACCTTCTGCACATGTTGTTACTTAAGAGAGCATGAGGTGCAGCTGCACACACAATCAACCTTTCACAAGAGCAATCTGGAGACAGAAACAGTGAGGAAACTTGGAGCTCTCCAAAGGCCAATACTACCACTACAGCAGCTTCTTGCAGGGTGCTTGGCCAAGCCCCCCGTGCAGCTCTGCTCTCTGGAGGACTTTGCTCTCCACAGCTACTTTGACAGGCTCTTCCAAGAAATGAAGAAATGGCATTTCTCTTGTAAGTAATGTCTCAGCTGAAAGAGGCAGGTTGCCCTAAATATAACACTGTGTGTCAAAGAAAAGCTGTTGTATTGCCTTGCCCTGTCTCCATCCCACCATGCTGAGCAGTTGCTCAGTATTTCCAAGCTCATGATCGTCCCTGAGCAGAGACGAATACTCAGAGATAGTGTGGGATTGCTGCAGCCATTTAAGATACTAGTGCCCGCAGCTGTCTGTGTGACAGGATTTGCAAATGCCCCCCCCCCAAAAAAAAAGTCTGCAGAAGCACATTATACTTAGACTGCAGTTCATACTCTGATATCTTAGTGAAAACACCATTTCAGAATAGCTTTAATGTATTACACTGGGCTGTGAAAGGGAGCAGCTAAGGTTTAGACCCCACACTCTCTTCAGTCTCTTGTACAGAGGGTAATACACAGAATAATAATACCTGAAGCCACTCTATCAAGGTTCCCTTCAAGTTCACCTCTTGCACCCTCACCTTGCCATAGCCTGCAGTGGACACTTGCAGACACAACATTTTTTTTTGTTTATCTTCTACTCCTCCTCTACATCCGACCTCTAGCAATGTACTGATAAGTATTTTAGAGCAGGATAACAGTTTACCAGCTAAACCCTTAGCTCTCCTCTTTCCCAGCTGTTAACTGCTTACAGTCAGCCTATGGCAGGTATGGCTGTTAGTATGTCCCCCACTGTGCAGGTGACTTTGGAAACACCAGCCTTTAAGAAGTGAGTCACAGTAGTCAGTTAACTTTTGTTCCCAAGTGGCATAACCCCCAAATTTAGTAACCTTAAAGCCCAGAAGGCTGGCTAGATCAAAGTAATGCAAATGTGACTGCACTGTGGGACTCTTTACCTCTCTTCTCCCTCAGGAGAATGCCCACCAGGTGAAAGCAGACTCACAAAAAACCCAAACCATGACATATGTCTAGAATCTTCTTGTCTCGCACAGGGCACATCTCTTCTGCATAGTGATTGGAAAAAACAAATACCTCTCTGCTCTTAGTGTCTCAGTCTCCTTTAGAGCTCCAGCCACCTGAACTTCCTTTGAGCTACTCAAACTCAGCAATTTTCTTTTGAGTACAAGTCTTAAATTGAGCAGTATGTCCAGTTTATCAACAAAAGCCTGCATTAGCAAAAATCAAGTGTTTGACTTTGAGCCCCCATTTCAGAGGCTTTGCTCATTTTCTTTAGCTGCATATTTTGTGGTGCATGTATGTTCCACCTTTGGCAAAGATTTGGCAGCGTTGCAGAGTCTATGACAGCATTCTGAGAAGTGACTTATTATCTGATTACAGCAAGACTACTGGTCACATCTCTTCCCTGACAGCCCAGATGATGAAACAAGTGTTGTATTTTGTTTGTTACACTTTAGTCTCCCCTTGTATTTATTTTCATTGTCACTACTCCATACCTGTCAGCTTCTTCCCACTCAAACCAGTTTTTTCTTTTGGTTTGCTTTTTTCACTTGAAGTGTTTGTTCTAACTGTGAGAGCAAAGGAAGTAGTTATATATGCATTACATTACCCTGAACACTCTTGTTTTATGCAACACCTCAATAACAGGCATTTCCTCATTCAAAGCGGCATCTGAAAATTGCGTACTTATTTTAAAAGAGACCTCAAACTATTGAAAAGTACATTAAAACAAAGGTTACTATCAAACTCTGGTCCATTTGACAATAGCATATATTTTAACTTTCTGCTGTGCCTTTTGCAACCGGACGTGCCTGTCTCGTATTGGCCTTTTTAGCCACCAGCGCGCTTGTAACAAACATGGGTAAAGCCCTTCCCAAATCTTCATTCGCGAAGCCCAGCCATGATGATATTTTAACTACTTAAAAACTTAGCAGAAAATTGTAGAGTTAAAGAAGTACCTTTTAAATGCAATACACATTCCCATGAAAGTACTGACAATTTAAAAACCACTTAACCTTCTGTGGCATCAGTGACCTGAGAAAGCATATTTGCTGGACCTATTACTGCTGGCAATATTCAGCACACCAGAGAAAAGCAAACCAAAATCAAGGTCTTGTTCTCTGCTGGAATTTCACTCACTATTTCTCAGTGAGACTTAGAATGCCTAAAGCCACCCCATGCTTCTTTTCACCATGCAGGTGAAAGCCAGCTGCATCTCCAGTACTTTGATTACAGCAACTGAACAATGAGTAAATAACAGTGATTTCTCAAAGTTTCAGAGCACAAGACAGAAATCACACCAAATTTACTCTGGACTGTTTAACAGCACCTTCTCTTTCCTTGACACTGTTCTCCCTGTAAATGATCAATATATTACCCTTCTCTATTTTCAGTGCTACAGTCACTGATCATAAATAACAGAACAAACATTTGAGTACACGGTTTAAGGAAGGCTATGTTTCTTCATTTTGTTATCAACACAAATTTCAGCATTGCATTTTTCCTGGGTACCTCTTACCACAGATACATTCCTGATTAAAATCTGTAACAACTTTCAGAGATATGTGTACATTTAAGCTAATTTGGACTAATAAAATCAAGTTATATCCCCTTTTCCTCTCCATGTTAATCAACGTTGTGTCCTCTGCCACAGTACCGTGGACCTGAACACTGCCAGAGTGATTTATGACCAGTGATAAACTGTGCTGCAGATCAGAACCAAGTTAGGTTGAGAGATCAGTTTGGAAGCCTGTGGTGGAATAAAAATGTGTCACAAGGGAGGCACACTGTCAGAGCCATGTACACGTATGCATCTGTTTATGTGCCTGGTAATGACCATGAAGGCGAGCAGGTCCAAGGCTGAAATTGCATGAGAAATTGCTAAAAAACAGGATTAAGATGCATTACCAGGGCTGTGAAGCAAACCTTGCATATAAGCTGCCTACACTGTGTCTGACTTGGAGTTCTTAGTCACATGTGTATGCATAACATTCATCAAACATTCAAATGCAACTGTACGTGGAACAGTACCTGTGTGACTGGGCTTATTCAAAGAGTGTAAGCAACTCTCCCCTCTCCAAGAGACTTAGGATGAATGTAGCATTTGCAAAATCTGCAGTTTCAGATAATGCAATATTATGCATTACTATGGTCCTTTAACTGTTGCACCTAAATAAAAATAAACCATAGGGGGAAGTGCAGGGAACAGGGCACCAGAGGCCCAAGCTGTTCTTCACAGCACACTCCCCCCCTGATCTGTATTATTCTCCAAGATCACTAACAGCACCTTTTCTACTGATCTGGAAAATTCACATTTATGAATGAGTCCCAAACACATATTAGCAGCAAACAGAAGAAAAGACCTCACTGGGAAGTAACCAAATGAAAAGGGTATGGTGAGGGTGAGGCAGGCACTGGCAATGGCAAAGAAGGAAAGGGTTGCCCTGGGAGCCCACCATCAGGGCTTCAGGTAAGGTTGCAGACAGCCAGGGAGCTGGGAGGCTAGGCTCTCAATAGGATAAAGGTCAGTAGGTGCTAGAGGTATGTCGTGGGCACAGATACAGAACCATCAGTCCAGATAATCACTCAAACTCATTAACAGAGCCACTGAGACATCCTTTATTCCCACATGTCACTTTGGAGGCAAGCTGCCTGTAAGTGTATAGCACTTAAATTTTTTGATTGGAGATCAGACTCTTCAGGCAAACAGTACTCAGTCCCAGTGACTTATCAGGTCCAACTCTATCTGCCTTGGCTCCTCCAAACTTCCACCTCTGACAAAAATCTTATCTTCTTTCTCTGAAAGGTAGCCCCAAGGCAGGTGACTCTTACTCGCCTTTAAAATAGATTACTTGTCAATTTAACTCCAATCAAAAAACTCAATCTATTTTAGTAACTCCAGTCCTGCAGTTACTGTGCACTATGAATCTGAAATGACAGCCTTGATCTGCCCCACACATGAATGTGAATACCTGACACAGGATTTTTGTTTAATTTTTAACCACAGACCAAGATTCAGCCTGGCTCTGCAAGACCTTAGCAGGGGGTGATGGGAGGACAAGCAAGTGTCTGAAAAGCTTATACCGGCAGTCTTTTAACGATGACAACACTCATCTCAAAGCTTCTTTAAGTAAGAATAACTAAGATATTTTATAACAGCTACTATACAAGATGATTCCAGGGGATAGAGCTACTACAGAGTAATCAATCCCATAGGATTAGAAGCAGTCTGCTTAGCCTAATGCCTGCTAAGGCATCTGAGAATTATTCATCATCTCATGATAACTGTATTTTCTCTAATGTATTATTACTTACATGTTAATAGCACCCTTACAACATTTAAAAGCCTGTCACACCCAGCACCACACTGCTGTTCATTTCCTGTATATATACCGCTTGCTGTCATCAATGTCTCTTCTCCAGCCTTTTTAGCTGTTGACCCAATTTAATGCCTTGCTGGAGATTGCCTTCCTAGCTGTAATTACAGTAAAGAAGGACTTCACAATAAATGTATTTCTCCAGCACCCACGGCATCTGTTAACTCTTCTCTCAGTGTATGTTCCTGCCTGCTAGGCACATTCCAGGACGATACACATTTGGAAGCATGAATTCAGTGTCTTCCCAGTACAATTCACCTAAGAATAAATATTTAGATACTAGTAATGAAATCCGAGCTAATGCTTTAGCTAGCATTTTGCAGTGCTATATGGGCTTAGAAAAGAACTTGGGCATTACAGCAATTTGTGGTGTGTTACTCCTGACACTGCAACCCAGCTTTACTTCAGTGGTGATTACAGCATAGCCATTAGTCAGTTCGACCTAATTTGGTTGCTCTTTCTCTGACAGCTTTACACTAAGATTGTAACAAGCCTTATCTACAACATGACAATTGTAACACACATTAGAATAAGACAGATCACACACTACACTCCCTAGGAACCTCTAAGATTAGTTTCAACCTTCAGGTATAGCCTAATTCTATAACGTAATATAAGTTTGGTGTTCCCAGTATTCTTCTCTTTTTTCAACTCAGATCTGCACTGGAAATAGTTAATACACTGACAACTTGCTGGATGATCCTGATAATTTATCATTCATAGTATCAGACCAGGAATCCCCAAATACTTCTAAAAAAAAAAAAATCAAATTAACAGGGCACTACTATTTCTTTATTGCCCACCATTCCCTACAGAAAAAACATGTTTTGAGTGGAAAAGGAAACTGCACTAAAGTTGCACTTGGGGATCTTCTTATCGTCTGTTTACATGTAGGAAGGACATCATCCACTCTGTCTCTCTTCAAGGAAAAGTATTTCCATGCCCACATGAACCTACTGGAGCTTAGAAAACAATTTGCCATCACATCCAGCAGTAGGATTTCCAAAGCTGGGGCACAGCTGAGAGGGCTGTGCTGTCCTGTGCACATAAGACACCTGATTTAAACAGAGAGGGAGCATGTCCAGCCAGGCTGACACATCTCATGTATGTTACAGACTCAGTTCAGCAGGCAGAGGTGTCAATCCCAACACCAGGGGAAGGTATTCTTTGAAATCAGGACATGCAGAACAGAAGGTGGTAGAGCCTCCCAGGAATCCATACTTGTTCATCAGATCTGGACATGTAATACTTCCACAAAGTTTACTCT